ATGTTACAAAAGGAATTTATAAACACACGGTTCAGAATGGAACACTTTGATAAGGTGCTGTCTCTCTCAGAGATAAATATAGTTTTAACAACTGTTTTATAGCAAAGTTTTGTAGTGTTATGTCAGCCTAACAGTATTTGGGATATATTTCTTAAAGGTCCAGCTATCGGGATGAAGAGTTACTTTAGAATGTCAGCATTAATCAAAGAAACGAGCGCATCTTCAGCCCCTAAAATCCCTGGAATCTGACAACTAGCAAATCATATTGCAAAGCCATACTTGTTTTTAAAAGTTCCAGATCTGAACATTGAAATGAAAAGCAAACCATCTGGGATATGTTGGCACTTGTATGGCAATCTGCCAATAATGCAGCTCCTGGCTAAGTGCTCTCAGCCTCTAACAGCCACAGCTTTCTCCTTTCCCTCATGCCACGGCCACGCTCTTGCTATTTTCCCCTTTCTCACTCAACACTAATGGACAGAGCGACCTGAAATAGCGGCACTCAAGCAGCCAATGCTGCCTCCTCTCCTCATTCCTGATGCTTCCTGCTACACCTGATCTGCAGGGAACCAAAGCAACAAAAGCTTCGGTGCAAAGCAAACAAGGGGCAGCTGCACAGCAGGTTTGTATCCCAGCTCTGGCCGTGATCCACTCTGCACGGCTGCCACCCAGGGCGAAGGGTCAGACACGACTCGTGTCCTCGCTGGCTCTGAGGGCCATGCAGGTTATCAGTGTCGCCGTCGGCGTCACGTAGCCGGGGCAGAGGTTGCCGCAAGCGAACTGGGACTTGTTCAGATGCAGGACAAGGGGACTGAACTGCCACTCGGCATCACTGCAAGGAAACTTGGAAGGAAGATAGGAAGGAGAGTCCTCAGGTCTGGGAGCCTCGCAAGGAAAGGCAGCTAAAGCTCTGGAGAAGTGCGATAATGTCACTGACCACTGGAGGGCAAACAAGCACCCGGCCTTGGCGGAAGGAATTGCTCCATCCTTGCTAAAACGGCCGCCAGTCCCTCTCCCTGGGAGAACAGGCACACTCTCGCCTCAAAAAGCCAGAAATTTTCTAGAAAAGGTAGCAAATCTCTGCTTAAAAGTGACAGGCAGGATCTGTTTTCCTCAGTCAATCAAGGGTGGAGAGCACTGTACTTTTATTTGCCTCCTTTGCAAGTGCGCATGCAGCGCGCACAAGCAATACTCTGGTTTGGTGTCTGCATGATGTAAAGGCAACATCACTAACACACAGGTAAAAAATAATACATGGGAAACTAATACATTCATTTTCAAAAGGGATCTTAATGGCAATGCAATCTTCTGTACCTAAACAAGCAACATATGGAACTGAGTCTACTGTGGAGGGGTCTCAGAATTGAGAAGCATTTTTGTCGATTTATAGTCTTGACAAGCAGCCCCAAGTGTTTGGTGTTTAAATAAACAAAGCAGCAGTAGCTAGGAAATGAGAAATGAATGCTGGAAACTTAGAGGGAAATGGTTTATTTTATAGATACACATCTTTATAATGACATAAAATATTTGAGGAAATTTTACATCTAGTGCTTCCACCCTATTCCCCCATGGAGCAATCCATCTATGGTTCAGAAATACCAAATGCCGTCACTGGCACATCTCTTAGTTACTCCAGTTTCTCCTTTTCTTTTGACCTGTTGCAGGGACTCGTGATGATTTGCAGACTAATATAACCAATGCTATAACTGAGAGTTCTGCCAAGCCAAGAGACATTTGTGATTCATCTGACTAATGCAGTTTTATCTTGAAGTTTTATCATTTGAATTGCTTGTTTTCAAGGAAGTCAAAGAAATCTAATGAGATCACTGAAAGAGATAGAGAATGAAAATTGGAAAAAAACAACCGTGACATTAGTAACATTGCAAGTACTTTAAACAAAAGAACAAAAATTTCTTGAATCTTCTACTTGTATGACAGACCGGTTTGTTAAAGGGGAACAAATTATGTGTATTCCTAAGGAAAAAAGAAAGTATCAGGAAGATAAGACAGCTCAATTGTTTCCTGCTTTGTTTCCTTCAGTCATTATTAGCTCTGTTGAAATGGGAGGGAGGGAGCTGTGATTATCTCAAAATGTCTCCTCTTTTCAACTAAATCCATTTGCCTAAGTGCACCACTGATTTTCTTTGCATATGACAGCAAAAATAGATGAGAAAGATTAGAGCCAGTGTCCTAACTTTGGCACTCACATCATCTTAATAAAAGCTGATAGTAAGTGCAATAACTGATCATATTGGTAACTTGATCCAAAGTCTAAACTCATTAATTTAGCACAGAAAACGCAGAATTTTTTAATCAGTAGAACCACAGTGCAATTTCTCAATGCCTCTAGCGTTGTTAGAAATACTTTCTCCCTTCTCAGGAATTTGTAATGTTTTAAAAAGCTTTCACTGGTATCTGAAATATACTCAGAATCAACATCCAAAATATGGCCTCAGAACGAACACCATCTTAATTCTCCTGTTTAAATCTTTTTTTTTTTTTTTTAATTTCTGCATAGTTTTCTTTCTGCTGCTATTTTTGAGAAAGATCCATTAGGCTAAATATTATTTTGAATCTTAGAAAGACAAATAGCTGGCTTTTATAGGGATACTTCCAAAGAAAAAGGAAATCTGTTCCTTATACTACTGTATACTACAGTGTGCATTTAATTTTAAAAGGAAGAATTATAAGAAAGATGATAACCTGATCCCTTGAAAAGGCCACCTTTGAAGAGATTTCTAAATAGAACTAGTGATAAACGACGCTTACATCTAGCTTCTCTTTGCAGGATCACACTTAGTGTTCTGTTGCTACACATCCACCATCAGGCCATGGGTCTGGGTCAATGCCAGCTTGTTCTGTGCGTAACAGAAGACAGAGAGTGCAGACCACCCAAATTTTCATGCTTTGATATCATTAAACCCTAAAGAAAGTATTGATGAAGAGACAGGTAAACATTTCAAGATTCCTTGTGAAAGCCTCACATTGGCATCAGAGTTTTATCCTTAGTTATCCTACTGTTCCCTTAAAAATTCCTTCTCCTGTAAGATACTGCTGAGTTAAGGTGACTAACTGAGTTAGTGATGGCAATGAGATGTTTGTCTCACATTTTTGTCTCACATATCCCAGCTGAGGCCCTTGTGCTCCAGGCCATCCCTCATTCTTACAGAGTGGTTTGAGCACTGCCCAGGTAGGGGCTCACTTTGGCAATCTTTTCACTTCCAGGAGTGCGACAAGAGAAGGATTAACGAAGAGCCACAAAATGAAAAGAGCCAAGCACTGTGGCCTCCTCACACGGAGGGAGGAAGGAGCTATGGAGAAAGGCAACGTCTGCCATGCATTGAGCCCTGTCCTGGGCAAACAGGGAGGCACAGTCACCAACATGGAAAGGCAGATGAGCCTTTCATGGCCTTGTTATAGTCCACAAGAGTTTACTCTTAAGGAGACCTGTTTTTTTTTTTTTGTTTTGTTTTCTCCTGAGAATAAATGATTCACCATTCACTTCAAACACAAACAAATGGGGGTTGGACTAGGCAATTGCTAAAGGTCCTGTCCAACCTTAATGATTCTTTGATTCTATGAAACAAGAGGATGAAGTTGGTGCATCTGTGCAGGGATATCCTCATACTCAAATGAACCATCTTTAAGTACTGTTGTACATTCATGCAGGGCTACTCAACAGTGAGGATGATTGAACAGCCTTGACTGAACATGTGCAACGAGGGAAATGTATCTGGCAACAATCTGTCTCTGTTCACTAATAATCCTGTATTAGCAGATGGCTACATGCAGCTTAGCACATAACATAGTAAATGGATTTGAAAATTTTCAGGATGGAGGATGCACAGCATAAATACACAATTCCACTTTCACAAACACAGGACTTTGAAGCTCTGGAGATATTATAACAACAAGAATGATGCTCCATAATCACTTAAATACAAATGATTTCACTTTAGCATTTACTGTATTGGTTAGAGGTCTGTAAAACAATTCATGATAATGCTTTTCAGAACTGAATTAATTTACAATATTCTGTAGAGAGCAAAAAATATTTCACTCAAAGCTAGACACATGCAGGAATATAGAGAAAACAGAGAAAGTACATTAATTAAGGTATATACTGTGATATCCAGTGTGAAGATTTGAGTGACTTACAAACATTCATAAAGGTTTTATTTTGACCTAGATTATTCTTCTAACTGAAATATTGAGGTCAAATGGCCAGACTTTTTAAGAATGAAGAAATTGTAGCTGCTTCCTGTAGCCTGATTGTTTAGGTGCCTGAACAGTGATTTGCAGAGTGACTTTGGGCAGACTTTTATGACAATCTTGACAAGTATTTTCATTTGATTTATACATAAGCATCAGAATGCACTGTAAAAGAATTACTTTACTGTAATGGGTTATGCTTTGAAGCAGTAGACTTCAATCTTTTTAGAATCCAGTCATACCCAAATTTGCTTCTGATGGCAGCTGGGAGGTAAGTGATCCCATTTAACAAAACTGCTAATCACAACCTCACAGCACTACAGACTTTGACACTTGTTTAATTCTGTTGCAATTTTTGTTTTCTAAAGGGAATGGTCCAGTCTTTTAAAATATTTTTAAAAATAATATAAGCAACAGCTTTCATCCTTGCTCTGTCCATTTTTATTACTTCTTCAATTTATTACTTCATTTATTAACTTCCTCAAATTGCCAATGAGAAATATCTCAATGACTACTCATGTAGGGTATCAGGACACCACGGGCCTACCAGCCATAATGTGCAATAGCACCTTCTTAGTATGAAGGAGGTAATAAAGTAGGCAAAATAGAGAAACTTTCCATTTGATGCATTAGGCTGACAGCTTTAATAAGAGTCTCCACTTTGTGGACAAGAAACGCTCTGGAATTGCAACCATTCCAAGGAGGTAAAAGAAGAGGACGTGCCAGCAACCTCAGCATGGCACCAGCACCAGTGCTCCTGAACCAGACAGAAAATGCTCCCCTGTGGCTTACCCCACATATCGAACACAAAAGGCAACGAAGCAGCAGCCGATCAGCGCCACGGTGGATGCCGAAATCACCGTGACCGCGCTGCCGGCAACACTAACCAGGAGGCCGAGGCCCACGCCGAGAATGATCTGGGCCAGCTGCACCATGCAGGTGAGGGCAGCGCAGTCAATGCCCTTCCCGCGCCCGTGTGTGCCGGGTTGCTCTCCGTCCTGCAGCTTCAGGTTCTGCAAATGAGCACAAATCAAACTGCAGTCTGACATGAATGCTGGTGACTGGCAGCTCTCAGACGATGCCTAAGGGCAGCCCCCGTCATGAAGCCCAGGCAGAGCAAGGCAAGGACAACAGGTCTCTATTTCCCATCTTTGTTTTTCTGCCAGTCCCTGAGGTTACATTTAGAGCCTTTACAAGCAACAGTGAGCTTTCCAGGCTTCCCTCAAATTTGTCCCATTTTTGTCCCACTTCTCCCACCCACCTTGCTTCTCTCCATCCTTTCTCTCGGGGGGAAGAAAAGAAACATGGTAAGAAATAGGTTTTTCCTTGACATTTGGGTCTATTTAAGCTCTGACACAAGGAGAGAGTTTTTCACAGCACAGAATACCCTGTCAAGGATACGTTAGCTCCAACTGTCATGTGCTTAAAGGAAAGCCCCAGGGGATGGCAGGGTAAGAAGTGTTGTGCACACACACCCCCACATACAGACCTGACCTGCTTTTCATTGAGCACTATGCTCTGAAGTTATGCTTCAAAGCTCAAAAATCAGTTCATTACTAACATCTTAACATAATGCTTTCATTGCTGAAAAAATGATTTGAAAGCAATTCCCAGACTAGGATTCTACATCACAGAAATCCATTATCAACTAATGATATTCCAGGGATATCATAGCAGAGCAACAGGCTTTATTTATTATACATAAGTAACTCTTCCAAGAAAGAATTATTCTGATTTTGTTGTGAAATTATTTGATAGTTTACATATTTATAGTTCTTGTTGCATAGGCTATTGCATGTGTTGTAATAGACCTTCTGTGCTGTATGATAGATGAGCAGCTGTCTCCTGGTAGCTGAATGCTCTCAGTTGTTAGGATGCTTTTTGCTTTTCCCATGACCTTGTTACATTGCATTTGAGATGCTAACACACAAAGGTCAGAAGTACTGGAGAAAACAATCAGTCCCTTCCAAATCCAGTACACAAAACTGAATTTGGATCCTAGGGAAGAGCAGCATACAAAGGAATTGAGAGGCTAATATTTTAAAACCCAGCACATGGTTTTGGTAAAATGCATACTGGTGGAGTATGCATTCTAACCCCTTTGTCTACTTTTTGTGGGGGGAACAATATGGTCAATAATGTCACTTCATCTGAGGTGTTTCAAAGTTTAAAAGTAGCATTTTTGTTTTAATTATAACTATTTTGCTGGTCTCTTCCCAGTGTCCCTATGTGCCAGTAATTCTGAGCACAGGCACATGAATGTGCAGATGAATGTGCAGATGAAGGCATGATTATGTTCCTCTTTTTTCTATCTTGTCCTCAAAAGTTCTGTCTTGACTCCAAAGTCAAGTCTACACTAATATGAACAGGTTAAGCCTCACTGAAACCACATTTGACAGAGTTCCTCAATTTGAGCCCAGTCAATCTTTTTGCTTCTGGAAACAAAGATGCACTCACACGGCTGTCTACAAACCAACGTTTTTGATTTCAGTTCCAGGATGGCAGCACTTACAGCCCCATCTGAAGCCCTGTTGTCTGTGCACTGCCTGAACACTTACTGGAATCACCTTTGTTTCAGTTGTGATGATAAATAATAGTTTGTTGTAACGCATGACTGAATTTGGAGAATTTGGAAAGGTTCTTATCAAAAAAAGTTCTATAGAGCTACAACCCATCTTAATATGTTAATATAGTTAGAGTCCTGAAGTGGTCTCCGTCGGAATTTTTCTTCGTATAGCATTTATATCACCATAAATAGTTTGAAACAATTACTAAAATCTTTCCTCCAGCTCTATCCTTTTTTTTTTTTTTTTCCCCACAAACAGACTGAACAAACTTCGCCAGATACGAATTTACCCTTCCTTAGGCCTTGAACTTACCTCTTCTTCCCGATGATACTCTGCAATGAGGTGGAATGGCACCGTATACAGTGTGCTGGACATAACACCGAAGAGGGAGCATAGAGCCAGGGTGGAATAGACATTGGGAAACAGGCCAATTAAGCCAGTACCTAATCCAAAAAGTAGATATCCAATGAAATAAAGTCCTTTTAATCCTATATATGGCAGAAGGGCTTTCTGCAGGTCTGCAAAATGGAAAACAGTGATGGGAAGTTAAAAAGCTTCCTCTCATAAGACATAATGAAGAGAAAAATCTTAAGGCTTTTGGAAGTTGCTTCAAGTTATTGTGAGGATATACTTGCAGCAGATATTCTTTTTCCTGACATTCCTCTCTCTGGGAATATTCTTATTGTGAGTTAAGCAAATCCAGAGAAGAACTAGTTACCAGGTATCATGTAAGAACTGCCCTTGCTGGCACCCTGACTGTTTGCTTATAATACAAACTTTTGGCAATATCGCCTCACTGAGCTGAGGGGGCTGATACACAAATATCTACATTTAAGATCCAAAGGAGAAAATATTTCCATCAAGTCTCTTTTAGATACTCACTTTATCCCCCAGAATGTTACTAATTTAATTTTTGGGGTAGCAAACAACTTTTTTAATCCAGGATAAGAAGTATGTTAAAATCTAGTTGGGGAACTGGACTGGCATGTTGACACACGACTCTACATAGTAAAGTTCATGTTTTTGGCAAGATATTCTTCTGCATTGTGAAAATGTTATTCTGTAAGGGAAGAAGGCAGATAGGTGAAAGCATTACAGAGATCTTCTGAGGACCCAGTTACATGACTGATATACAAACAGCATCTTAGAATATGCTCACCGCATCCTTTTTACTTGAGTATTTAAGTTTAGGATGACTTTCAATGCTCAGTCAGGCCCCATATAGAGCAATGCCTTTCTCCCAGAATGACCCACATCATGAGGTCTGGTCAGGAGTCGTTATGAGACAGGCTTTGTACCAATAATATGAACACAACATTCAAGTTTTAATGTGAAAAAATGCCAGAACGGATTCTTGAGTACTTACAAGAATAGACTGATGAAAAAACCGCATTAATGCACAGCCCCCAGCATCCAACTTCCACTCCTCGTTCATAGGCAAGGTAAAGGGTAGAGTTGCGAGGCGCGTAGGGACTGCCCTCGTACACAATCTGAGAGAGACCACAGAGATCACAGAGGGCAGGTATGTGCTGCACATGTGTAGTATCTCCATACTAGAGCTACATGGCACCCCAACACAGGGTCTCATCCTTGGGCCATCCTCCTGGCTCCACTCCTACCTCCTTGTCTTAGATTCTCTCTCCTTTTCTTTTCTTTCTTTCTTTTTTTATTCTGAAATTGATTTATTTTGTTCATGTTTTGTTTCTTTCTTTCAGGCTTACTCCCACACACTTGTTTTTCCACCCAGGCACTCTGAGAATTAGTCTCTTACTCAGTTCCTTTTGCAGGAAAACAAGCTTTTTTTTTTCTTAAGTTGTTTTTTTGAAAGTTGTTGTAAAGTTTAAAGTAAATTTTTCTTTAAATTTTTCTTAAAAATTTCTGTTCCAGAAACAAAAACTCTCTCTTACCTAGAGAGAAAAAAAAAAGTGTGTGTGGGGGGGGCAAGTAAATACTGGATACTGGCTGGAAACCACATAAAAGCAGGAAGTGGCAGTGACAGGACTGGGGAAGGGAGGAAGGGAGCCTCTTTAGGCAGCCTGTTCCAGGACTCTGTCACCCTCACAGTAAAGAAGTTCTTCCTCATATGGAGGTGGAACTTCCTGTGTTTTAGTCTGAACCCATTACCCCTTGTCCTATCACGGGCCACCCCCCGAGAAGAGTTTGGTGACATCCTCCCTACATGCTCCCCTCAGGTACTTGAACACATTGATCAAATCTCCTCTCAGTTTTCTCTAGGCTAAACAGGCCCAGCTCGCTTTGTCTTTCCTCATACGATAGACATTCGAGTCCCTTAATCATCCTAGCGGCTCTCTGCTGGACCCTTTCTAGAAACTCAGTGTCCCTCTTGTACTGGGGAGCCCAGAACTGCACCCAATACTCCAGGTGAGGCCTCCCCAGAGCTCAGCAGAGGGGGAGGATCCCCCTCCCTTGATCTGATGGCAACGCTCCTCCTGATGCAGGCCAGGATCCCATTGGCCTTCTTGGCCACAAGGACACACTGCTGCCTCATGGTCAACTTGTCAACCAGGACTCCCAAATCCCTCTCCATGGAGCTGCTTGCCAGCAGATCAACCTCCCTCCCCCGCCTCCTTTTTTAATTAATTAATTTACATTTTGTTATAACAGAAGAGAGGCTGCTTTGCTGATTCATATTCACAAATCTATTGGCAAAAAATAATACCCAGTGTCATTTCTTAGCCTATTTTACAGTCCTGGCAAGAAGCAGTCATTTGCAACAGCAGCAAACACCTATGGGCTGACTGCCTGCTAGAGCTAAGTGCAGGAATAGCCCGGATCACCTACACGGCGGCTGGCGGCGGGCTCTGCAGCCTGCAGGCAGGGCAGGCACCACAGGGCTGCTCCAGCCCACGTGGGGCCACAACACAGCACCCTGAGCCTGCCCAATAACTTGGATTTAAACAAAACATGGCAAAGCTGGCACCCGTCCCCCACTGTCTCTGTGTTTCTGGGAATGTAGTCCCACATACTACGTATAAACTGTTCAGTGTTTCAGGAGGCCAAATGAGCTGAGCACTGTGACGTGGTGAATGTTTGAAGCAGGTACTGGCACATTTTTGCTGGCTTGTTTGACAGAGCTTATCCCAATAAAAAAGCAAAATTTCCTGGCACCCTGGACCACAGAAGGATCTGGTACCATCACAAAAACTCTGACAGTCATCCCAAGAGCTTCTCTCTGAACGGCGAAACGGCCCAAAACCCTTACAAATGCAGAAAGCCTGACACCCAACAGAGCCCAGTTTGCAACGGGGCCTGAAAGGAATGAGCTATTTCACAAAACTCTTGTTTGGGCACTCCACATATAACTCGCTCCGAAATCACTGTCATTTCTTCAAGTTTATAATACATGCTCACTTTTTTTCTGTGGAGGATGAAATGCTACAAGTAAATAAAAGCAAAAGTGCCCTATGTTTTTACCTGTCCCATGAAATCTGTGAAGAAGAGCATGTTGGACAGGAAAGCCATCCATCCGAAGAGGTGGCTCACGCACAGGTAGCGATAGTGGGATGGCATGCTTATAAGCGTCTTCAGGAGCGATTTAAGGGTCATCCGCGGCTGAGTCTAAAGACAAATATTTAAAAGTAGCTAACGATAAGCTATTTAACAATAATACTGTATTACTGCCCTGATGGCTAATAAAATAGCTGACGGCAAATGAAGAAGGTCTCATCATAGTTTTAATGCCAAATTTCCTAAGTTTTCTATTTGTTTTTGCTAGAATGGGTTGCTTGGGTACTGAAAGTCCTTCAATATCTTTTCTGTTTGTCAGAGCTAATGCCTAATAAAGTCATCTGAAAGATTAACAGAGACACTGGGAGAGCTGGGGTACATCACTAATGATAAAAACATTTCCTGCTGTTACAAGCCATCAGTGGGGTTATTATTTATTTGTAGAACCAAGAGAAAATTTTCTGTCAAAACAGATCCTCAGTGGAAAATTGGAGTTTCGAAAATAAAAAATCTTCATCAAGGCAATCAACTTTCCATTGACAATTGAAAGCTACCATAGGAAAAAAAAAGTGGAAAACAAAATATTTCGTAAGAGTTAAGAATGTGTCTGGTTCTGAGACCTCACTCTCATTCCGCTTTGTGTGTTAAGCTCCCTAGAAAACTTCACCTCTTCTGGTGCATCATCACCGTGAGATCTTTTATGTACTATCTACTCCCCAGCAAGCCAGGAGAGAGTGATACTGCATAGGAGACACAGCACCACGCAAATCCTGTGTGCAGAACGTGAGCCCTGGCACCCCAGCACCTCATCCCATGGGAGAAAGGGCTCAGTTCAAACCCAGAACATTGCAGCTAATCTTAAACAGAGTTTTACTTTTGGAACAATACAATTTCTTAGCATCATCAATACCCCACCTTCTC